TTACAATATAATCTTGTATTTTCACTATTTATAATCACGATCAGACTGACTACTCCAGCCCTTTACCAACGCTCGCGAATTTCATTGCGATGGAAGATGCATCGTATACATTACATTAGTCAGTGTGCAAAACAGTTCGCTACATTAATAAATAATTTTGTGAGTACGTTAATTTTAAAAATGGCAGGATGCAGAGACTAAAGTGCACATTAGTTTTCAGAATAAACCACAATCAATTATTAAAAATTGGAATTATATATTTATGAGCTTTTTGCAACAAGCAATCGATGGAAAAGTGCTGGATTCCAAATGTTTCCCATACGTTTTATTGATTTAATATATAGATATTGGTCAACGAATGTATAGGAAGATGCATCAAGAATGTATAAGAATGCATAGGAAGATATTATTGATTCGTAATGTGTAAATAAATGTTTTGGTAGTTAAAACGTTTTCAAAAAGGCGAAGTTACACCCGTCCGTATTGCGTAATGTAACATTTTGAAGTAACCTTCGGTAAATGTTTACATCGATTTTAAACCAGTCCATAATAATTACTATTTTATATAAATAATTAAAAGAAATAAACGTTACGATGGAAAAATGCATGAAAAATTGTAAAAAAAAAAAAAAAAAACAAAAAAAAAAAACAAATATATATATACAATATAATTATTCATATTGTAATGTTTACGGTTAAATTTAATGTATTCTTTTGAAATTCAAACTGTTCAATATATATATATATATATATATATATATATATATATATTCTTTCTCTCTCTCTCACTTAATTTTTCCAGCTGTAATTTACATTTTTTTTCAATTGAATATTTCAAATCTTTATGAAATCAAATATGAAATTATACAATCGCATTTAAATTTTACATTTTATACAAAGTTATTCAATTTTAATATGTCTGCAACATTTTATAATACATAATCTTTAATATAATTGTGAAGAAATATCGTTCTTGTTTAAATGATTGTTACAAGAGAGGAGGAGAATATTGTTGGAAAATTTTTATATTCAAAACGATGTTTTCCCGTAACATTTTAATAAAAATATCAATTACTGTAAAAAACAAGTACATCTTGACTTTTATTTTGCTTGAAACTTGAACTATGCGATAAAATCAATAGATTTTAATGAATTATCGAACAAATTTAATATTATAATTCCGTCTATGTGGCAATTATATAACTAAAAAGGTAAACATATTTTAAAATATGTCATTTATCGTTCTTTTTTAAAAAAAAAAAAAAAAAAAAAAAAAAAAAAAAAAAAATAAAAAAATAAATAAATAAATAAATAAATAATATTCATTATCAAATGAGCTTTACCTATCGATGCAATTACTTTAAATTATTACTTCATTCTCTACTCAGAGTGCATTATTTCTTTAAAAGTGTATTATCAGAAAGCGCGGAATTTAGAATTTTCCGTCGCGTTAAATATGTTATTTAAAACAAGTTGAATCGGCAATTCAACAGAACAATACACAACAGTACAAAGTCCATCAGTATTAGTTCAGATAGTAATTTTTTCGTACTCATCGCACGACCAAAAAATGTCTCTCAATTAATACAAGGTTAGCTTTTAAATGCTTAGGTACGGGAGAAAGTTTGAAAAAGAAATTTAACATTTTGAATTATAAATTTGTTAAAAATTATCATTATTTGACATGACGAGTGAAAAAAAATTTGCCGTTCTTAGCTGCTTTTACTAAAAAAAACTTAGGCTCTAAATTTATTATAGAAAAATAACGAAAGCTCAGTGGTGACAAAATAGATAAAGTTAATTGCTCTATTTCCTAAGACTTGATATAAATTGCAAAATTTGCAAATCAATATACGTGCGAGTTGCACAGGTAGTAAAAAGCAATGAATTGATTGTATTGTCACACAAACTTACCGATGAGGAGATTTAGGAAAAATTACTATGCAGTTTGGAGAATTCAATTTCATATTCAGTTTTATTTGCTACTCATATTACTACGAAACTACAGCAATTTCTGTATTCGCTTTCCTCGTCGATAAGTTCATATATGCAGAGTGTAGAAAGTTTAAAATAGACTCATAAAATTACGCATCAAATCAGTGATTTTACGAGTATTTCGAAATCCATTGGAGAATATTCTAGATCAATACAATTACTAGCAACTTGTGACGGCTGAATGTATTATTTATGGCATAGATGATAATAATTTTTATGTTCTAATACATTTGCAATTACGTTAGATTAATTTTTACTAAAATTTTGACTTGTTTTTGAGAAGAAGAAAACACTTGATTTTCTTCGTTAAACTATCTTGATTGAAAGTAATTGAAATACCCAGCATGTACCGCTTATGTTTGGGAAATTAATGACGTTGAGTTACATAATGATCTGTCAAAAATTTTGTATAAAAAATGATTATCATTTCCAATACAGTGCTATTAGTTAATTGAAAATTTGAATTTTCCATATAAATTTTATCAGTTCCAATCAATAAGAACAATTGCCATAATCCAGATAAGTTTCACAAAGTGTATTAAAGTAATAAATATCTTTTACAGATAAACTTATTATATAAATATTTGTTCAATATATAAATTAAAATATATTTAATGAAAAATTTCCTCTGTGATGTTATAAAAATTATAAAGAATTTATTGGAAATACCATTATGCTCAAATCAATTTTGTTTATGTATATTCTAATGTTGTTTGGACATTTATCATCTGAGAAACGTGAGATTTTTTTAATTGAATCTTTCTCTTATAGTACTGAATTCAAAATATTGATAATAATATTTGGATACTAATGTTACGATAAATTTACATCTTAAAGTAATTTAACGTTATTTACATTCAATAAAGTGTGAAGTATTTTATATATACATATATACATACATACATACATATATATATATATATATATATATATGTATATATATATAGACATTAAAGATAAGTATTGAATTTTTTCAACCGACTCTGGTAAAAATCATTTCTTCCTCATTTTCTCCATAAACTATAGAATTAGATTTACTTTTAAAAATATTACAATATATTGTAACACAGTATTTAGTGGTTATTTAATAAAAGTTTGATGATGTAATAAAATTAGGGATCACAGTTAGGAAGGATTTTTGCCAACTTGATAATTTATTGATTTATACAAATTGACAAATCATTTCAAATGGAATGAACAGAATAATTTAGTCCTTAAATAGCAAAAGAAAAAAAAAAAAGAAAAAAAAATAAGAAAAAAATGAAAGTGATGCATACATATTTCGCGTGTTATAAAGCAAATTGGTTTTTCAATGAAAACAATTCATGTTGGAAAATGATAAGATCGAGGATCCAAGTCGTGAATAAAAAAAAAAGCTTTATTTATGAACCAAAGTTATAGAAAAAATAGCATGAAAAATTTCATATCGATCGGTTAAGTAAGCTCAGAGAGATTTCTACTACCCAATTTCCTTACTTGTACTCATGTACGAAGAATGCACTTAAAATTTATATACTCTCAACATGAAAATCGTGAGCGATGTGCAATGCGTTTTCAAACTTCAGTTCAATGCTTACGTGTTAAGCATTCAAAATATCAATTTGTCACTTGGGATGGAAATTTCTTAGGCCTAAGTTACATTTCCGTTGACCTATTATACGTATTTATTTTAGTTCTGGGCACCGAGTGTATTGGCATTCGGCGCGAATATCTTGCGCACTCGGTATTTTATGTACAGTGTTTACCAACTCGCAGACATTTAAATGTCTTGCTAAGGTTCCTCAGGTATGTCCGTGCTATTTTTTTCTTTTCTTTTTTTTTTTTTTTTTTTTTTTTTTTTTTTTTTTTTGCACTCAATGTCAAAGTAAGATGGTAGTTTTTATAATTACTGTGAAAAATCGAACTATCGATCATCATTTACAGCAAACTGTTATTTATTGATCGAGTATTTTGATGTGCTGAGTTGTTCGATGAGCTGTTGAAATGCAATCGATAGAGTAATCCATGATAAATCGCCCAATTTTCGAAAGTGCCTCTTAATTGAATCGAGGCTCTCGTGACTTTTTACGTAAGCGCAGGCTCTCCAAGATCTCGCATCAGTTTCATAATAAGATACTTTCCCTATAGGCTCATCCACCAAGACTCTTGCGAGATAAATCACAGCTACTTTTTAATTCTTATAAACACGCAAGCATATATTTTAAAGTAGCAGGCCTCGAATTCCACTGTATATACCATCCACGCGAATATGACCAGCTTATACTACTCGCTCCTTCGCAACACTTTCAACCATAGAAGGGATGAGGAAATCAATTCCGACAATTCTCTCGCGATTCCCGTAGGAAAAACCTATTGCTTCGTTAGTATTGCATGCGTTGTCCACCATTATTAAAAAGTATTGTCGATTAGTTTGCGAGGTGATGCCGTCGATATTAGTGCTTTGCGCGAATTTCGCGATGTCGCAGGCAGTGTTAGAGTCGAGATAAGAGAGAGAGAGAGAGAGAGAGAGAGAGAGACGGACGGAGGATGTCAAACGGCATAGCGTCTCGACGATTAAATGGCCGAACGAGTAGCGAGAATAAGCGCGTCGTCGACTAAAAGGATTAACGAATTGCCATTTGGAGTTGGCTGTCGCAACAAAGTATCCCTTAAGGTATATATGGTCGAGGCAATCGATAAAAATTAGCGAGAGTAGCGCGAACAAATTGGGAAAAATCGCGCGAAAGAGCGCGTCGAGTGGCCAAGTTGGCGCGCGCGCGCGCGCGCGTGAGAGAGAGAGCGAAATAGCTCAAATAACTAAATAAAGCGAACAAACAGGTTTGCCGCCCTACGCCAGCCCCGTGCCTCCTGAAGTAGTTACGGCCCTGCGGCGGAGCCTCGGCCCGGGGGTGCTTGCCCCGTAGACGAGCGTAAGTTGGACAGTAGACGAGCGACGCTGTGGAGGACGGCGCTCGCGCGGCCGCCTCATGCATCGTGCGCACACGCGAGGAGCCGCGCACCAGGAAGCTCGGGTGCGCGAGGGGCGCGGGGACGGACAATCCGCAAACTCCGTGGGTGGGAGGTTACCTTGGCAGGTAACCTGGCAAACGGCGGGTGTCTTGCGCTCGGGAAATCGATTTGGCCGCGGGCAATGCGGCGTGCCAGGCCCGATCGAACCTAACGATACACGACGACATTGTAGCGTCGGCCTGCTCCTGGCGCACCTGCACGAGCCTCCTCGGGCTGACGCCGGGGTGTCGGCCAGGCATCTAGCGTATCATCCGGGGATCCCGCAGACCGGCCTCGACTACCATAGTCGACTACTCCCGACTATCAGCCGAGGATTTTAAATGTCAAGCTGGAGCAGGTGAGAGCCGGCGCGACGCTTATCGCGAGCCTCGCGGTCTCCGGTCGTGAGGCGCTCGGGCCGCGTCTTATTCCCATTATCCTCGGCCCGTGGATCCCGTGGGTCCCGTGTGGACGATCCCTGGGCGATCGAGGGCGCCCCTGCCGGACGACGAGTACTGTTTGAGCCGGAGCTTTGCGCGCCGATCTTTCAACGCTCGCCTCGGGCTTCGGGCGGTCGTAGGAGGCGATATTTTAAGTGGAAGAGAATCGATATCGCAGCGCCCGCATGCACGAGCTCTCGAGACTCGTTGTTGCCTGTATCTTAATCGGCTTAACTTGGAGCTTTGCGCTCGCGTATAAAGTTACGGGAGATGAAAAATCGCGCTAAGCCTTTATTATTCCAAATGGGGTGGGGGTCGAGGGTATTTTTGTGCGACAATAAATAGGAATTGACATGGCGGGATGCTATCGATGATGAGTTAGTAATTGCGTTCGCGGAATTTTTGCTGCCAGTGAAAGTAGGAGCGAAAATTAAATTGATCGTGATTTGTTCGGACGTGTATGAGGAGGAATGTCAATTATTGCAATCGCATTCCGTAAGAACAAGGGAAAGAATTATCGACCGAAGCCGAATGAGAGATAAATTAGTTTTCTTTATTGTTGTTGTTTCTTTGTTATTGTTTGATTGTCGTTGTTGTTATTATTGTAAAACAATGTGTGAAACAGGCGTGGCTAAATGCGTTTACTTATCGAACGTTAGTTTAACGGATCTAGTCCAGCCTTTCGTTTCCAGCCTGGATTTTCGAAATAATCACAAATTCGTTTATTAGAAAAGGATTTATATTTAATTTTTTACATTTTTAGAATTGCCCTGTCCGAATGGAACTATGCCGAAAGCTAAATATAGCAACGATTACAGTTATTTTGGGCTGCGCCGAAGTTCGAATGTAGGGCGAAGCAGAAAAGTAAAACCTCATTAGGATCAACAAACTCGAACTTACTTTAATCGCCATGTTCCGTACTTTGTTAAATGAAAATTCTGATTCTCTGTGATATCGGCGTGCAACTGCACACTGTTGGTCGATTAAAAAAGTTGAGTCAAAAAAAAAAAAAAAAAGAATATTAAACAACCATAGATATTGCTAAAAATTCAATAAATTGTTACGCTCTATATTACAGAATTGCCGTTCAATTGTCTCTCTCGTACTTGTGAATAAATTTAATTTTACAAATTGACGACAGAAGAACATTATCTATCAATCTATTTACATGCGCGCGCGAACACGCTAACGCGCACATCGCCCCATTATTTTCACAAAATTATGCAAAACAATGAAAACAATAAGTGATTCCCGCGCATATATAAACTTTTCTTAAAATCTTCCTTATTAAAAATACTAACTATAATTGTGTAAAATCCATCTGGTGAAAAAGACTTTTTTCTTTCGTTCTTTTTTCTTCTTCTTTAACTAGCAGATATAATTTTTAATAATAATCGGAACATTAAGAATAATTATATACAATTATAATGATATGTGGACATATAGGTATACCTATGCATATATAATATATCGTAGATTATTTATAATTAGATCTATTGCTGGAATCCGAGCGCAATAAATCCATGCGAATCTTGCTTAAAATAAAAATAAATATACAGTATAAGCCATTGATTATATGTACTTTATACACAATGATTAAACAATGAAGCGAATATATAAGTCTTTACTAATCCTTGTTTTTTATCTGCGCAAACATATATTAAAGTAGCATGCCGAATTACATTACCCAAAAAATCGATAATAATAAATAAATGAAAGGCCAACACGCTTAGTAAAAAGCGATCCGTCAAATTAAAAAATACGCACGCATACACGCACACACGTACGCGCGCGTGTTTATAGGCTTATGAAGTTTGTGATTAAACCATCGTACAAGCTGAACAAGGCTGGAAGAGTGAAAATTATTGTGCGACTGAGCGGTACTTTGGCATTTATAAGCTTCCGACTCGGTGCAGCTTGCAAGCATATCGTACACGAAGCACGAAACTGTCTTGATCGCGAATGCTCCCTAATTCATAATCATCGAATTATCATGATATTATTGCTATTGTTATTATTGTTGTTGTCGTAGTCGTAGTCGTCTTCGTCGTAATCGTCCTCGTCACCATTATCATTGTTATTAGCATTATTATAATTATAACGAATATTATTAGGGATAGGGCGTTGCGTCAGAGCACACTCGCATTAACCAAAGTGCGACGCATCAAAGTGCGGAAACCTTTCACGCAAAGCCGTCACGATAATGCAGAGAGCTAAATAAATAATATAAAACAAAGAAAGAGAGCGGCGTAGCGCGCGTGAAAGAACCTATAAAAGTTGTCTTTGGAAGGCGAGTCGAGCTTCTGGTCGGGAGTATTATCCGGCGGGCGCAGAGCCTGGGTAAATGAGCCGATAAGAGCAGCGAAGCTCTCCTGCGCTCCTCCACGCAGCCAGACTCGTGCGTGCACGAGCTCACGCACACGTAAACGCAAACTTCATCGTCACTGGGTCTCATGTGTGACGCACGAGTTTGCAACCTGCTTTCGCTTCCGTTAACTTGTCACTTTGTCATTCCCTGATCGGCCCTCGGCGGCGGCGATCGCAAGGGGTCGGGTCGATCGCTCTCTCGCTTTACCTCCCAAGCGCGTACGTGCGCTTACTTCCCCCCCCGACCCGGCCGTCCGCGCACATATATTTTTTTTCACGACTCGCATTAGCACGTTCGGTTGATTATTATTGTTTACGGCGTTTTGTTTCTCCTCCACCCACCACCCCCGCGACAGCCCCGCGCGGTCGTTAACGAGGTGCACGCGATCCGTTGATCTCGTTCGGCCGGTTCTGTGCGCGTATTTATTTTCGTTTCCTCTGATCGACAGGACATGGGGCCCGTGGAGGCATATCGTTACCTCGTGGAGGAAATATCAGGTGAGTTATATAGCGAGAGAGGATTTAACAACCCTACATGACATCCTCTTAGCGGTCGTTAACCATCGGCTCGTTACACAAGACGTCGTCCAAGACTTTTCTTGTCTAGCGAATTCTCCTCAATAATATTCTACAGATAATTGGCTAGTTTTCCATTCGTGGAAGTCTATTTATTTATTTGCTTCCTCCCCCCCCCCATCCCCTCACTCTCTGCCCCTCACTCTCTCACTCACTCTCTCTCTCTCACACACACACACACACACACACACACACACACACACACACACACACACTCTATCCGTCTCTCTCTCTCTCTCTCTCTCTCTCTCTATCTCTCTCTCTCTCTCTATAGCTTTTACTCTGTTATGTATTATCTTATATTTGTTTGCTGTACATTTTGAAAATATTATTTTACAAATTAAATTGCTTTACCGATTGATTGCTTTTAAATTATTTGCATAAATTGCATAAATTACAAGTTTTTTTTTATTGATTGAGCACGTATTCCTTTTTGTGACGATAGAAAGTAGTATAACCAGTTTGGAACTACTAAAAGTGTCATAAATATGTATTAATTACGCGCAATATGTAAAGCACAAAATATAAAAGAAGATTATTACAGTATTACTTATTATCGATATTACGCTCCTTACAAATATCCTACTCCATTATAGTGAAAATTTTTAAATTATTAAATATGCAGCATCTAATATTTTACGACATAGACTTTTCCGTTATCTTTTTTATTTCATGCATTTTTTTTTCTTTTTTCACTAGATAGCCAGCTTAAGTCATGTTGTACAATATTGCTTGATAATATGCTATTAAATGAGTAGAAGACAGAAATTTCGCTAGAAAAATCTTTCCATGGCATTTGTAATTCAAATGTAAATTAAATTCAAATTACACACATATATATATATATATATATATATATATATATATATATATTAATTCCATCTGTTACTTTTAAAGAGATAAACTGAATTTACTCGATGTAAATTTTACTAAATAGAATGTGTAAGTGAATGGCGATTTATGCAAAACTCTACCTCACAATTAAATTCATAAATACACCCATAAATATTTAATATTTAATTCCAAATTGCTCATTTTCATTATGAATATAATGTCGTGGCCATTATAAAAAAAAAAAACGACAACAACAAAAATAATAACAAAAAAAAAAAAAAAAAAAAAAAAAAAAAAAAAAAAATTAATAACACGTAAGTAAGCATCAATGAAATTTATTCAGTATTTATTTAAATATTTATTTAAATAAAGCAATAACCTTGAAAATTAATAAGGATCATTACTCTTTCATGTTCAGTAGCGCTTAAGCCACCAATATTTTTATTTATAGCCACTTATAATTGTAGCGTTTTATTATATAATAAGCCGAATGCTCGAATTAGGACCAATGAAATAAAAATTCAGAAAAGTACACATAAATCTTAAAGATTCGAGCATGATTTTTATCATTTCTTTTTTTTTTTTTCTTTTATATTTGCATCTCTTATATTATCTCTTACACTTACGAAACATCGAAACAACGAGATAATATTTAGAAACTACTCGATCATTGCGCATAAAATTTTCTTTATCAGACTACTTTCACGTAATAGTTCCACTGCTCTTGCCAATTTACTTCCCAGCGAATTATTACTTCACTTAGAATAATATTACGCAGCATGCGAGCTTTAACATTGCGAGTTGAATGCAATGGGAATTAATTAGCAATAATGAAGCCGAATCCTCGAGAGTCGAAAAGATTGAAGCGTTAAAACTTTTTCCCCTTTATTCTTAGATCCAAGGGTGGCTGATTGGCCAATGATGGCTAGTCCGTTTCCGGTATCACTGATTCTCCTCGCTTACCTACTCTTCGTATTGCATTTGGGCCCGAGGTACATGCAACATCGTTCGCCGTACGATCTTTACAATTTTATGGTAGGATACAATATTGCCGTTGCCATCTGCAGTGCCACTGTTTTTTACGGGGTGAGTTAATTTATTACAAGATTAATTATACGGACAGTTCGAATGAATGATTGTTCTCGCGTAAGTTTATTAGGCGATCGTTTTAGGAATAAGGGGCACCATTATTTTGCATAGTAAGAACGCCCTTTCGTTCGCATGTGATTGCAGTACAAATTTCAAATTTTCGCTTATCCGTATATTGATTATTTTATATGGTTTTTAATGATGGCTGGATGTGTTGGATATTATTTATAATGGTGAATATATATGTTAGGTATATATATATATATATATATATATATATATATATGAGTCGCGGATGAAAAGTAGTATAAAAATTAATAATAAAGATTGTCAATTACATTTATGCAATAATAATAAAGGCATTATTATTACGATTACTTATATTGGCAAATAGTCGATATAATAAACAAAACTAGTGATTTATTTCATACGGATATTATATATTTCAGCTTCTTACATCTGGTTTTACGACAAACTTATCCTGGGGTTGCGAACCTGTTGATTATTCATTAAATCCAGAAGCCATAAGAGTAAGTTTTACCGTACAATTTAAATTGGCTGTAAATTATATTTTAATACAATTGCTTGGAATTATCATATCAATTTGAAATATAAAGAATAACTTATTACAGTTAATACACTTATATACCTCATAACGATAATTAAACATATAATTAAACTTATAAGGACACGCGAAATTGTGAAAATTAATTCGAATGATAAAAAATAACCATAGATTTAATTGCGGGAGGTAAGATTTTTAATTTCATTATTATTATTCATGCCATTTTCATTTCCAATGCTTCAATTACAAATTGTAATTGTGCATTGCTTGTTTAAGAAATTGATACTTAGCTAATATAAAAGTGCACGAGGTTGCTCTAGCTCTTATTTACAAAAGCCCAACGTTTTCATTCGCCACTCATCACTAATTATATAATAGCCTTACTTTCATACACGAAGACATTATCATTTGAAGCCTGAAACTATTTTATTTTAATTAAAACACAGGATAATGAAATTGCATTTCTATTATGTAGATGGCGAGTTGGGTCTGGTGGATAATGCTTCTGAAAATCACGGAACTCGGGGATACAGTTATTTTTGTTCTGAGGAAGAAGTACAATCAGTGCTCATTTCTACACATTTATCATCATGTCACTACTGTAAGCCTCGCCTGGATAGCCTGCAAATATGCTCCAGGTGCATAGTCCATTCCGCATTATGAAATTTTATCGAAGTAGTTTGCATTTTATTCGCTCCAAGTATTTTTATTCCCCTTATCATCGGTGCTCCTCGAGTGATTAAACAATAAATTCAATCACGGCTTTAAAATTCTTAAGACATTTGGTCATATAATTATGAATTTAATATTGTGACAAAAGATCTGACAAATATCAAGTCTGAAAATGCTGAAAAGTAGTCAAAAATGAAAACAAATCCGAAAAGATTGTGACAATTATCAAGATATTCAATTTAATCGATAATAATCTTGAAAAATAGCGTTTTATCAGCCTAAATATGTATGTAATGAGCTTTGTAAATTTTGCATTGAAAAGTGAAAGCAACGTTTGTTTTGAAACCAATAAATATTTTATTTTAGGAGGCATGTGGACATTTATTATGATGCCCAACTGCTTAGTACATGTCATCATGTACTCGTACTACCTGTTAGCCTGTTTGGGACCGAGGATGCAGAAGAAGCTTTCGCCGTGGAAGCCATACTTGACGATGCTTCAGTTGGTACTGCTCGTTTATTCATATTGTTAATATTTCGTAAAATCTCCGCGCTACATTTGCATATCAAAAATCGAAGTTGCTTGCAATCCTAATGGGACTCGCGCGACTTGCAAGATTATTACTAAGTTGGTGTCTAGTATTTTCGAAAGGCAGGCGAAAAATAGGATTTTATGAAAAATATATTTTTCACGGCTGTAGTCGTGATATGAATATGCTTATCGGTCGTGAATTTTATTTATTATATTGCATGAAAGTTACTACAGGATACATACAATTCCTGCAGAATATTTATACAATATTTTTCATCTTAATATGTGATTAAGAAAAAGCCATTACAAGCATGCTCTGTTAATTAATTATTAAAGATTATTTTCCAAACAATTTGTTATTATTATTATTATTATTATTATTATTATTATACGTAGTTAATTGTAAAACTCCTTAAAAAGGGTTTATTATTTTTACAGTTAGTTTGTTTTTTCATTTTTGTATTGAATGCCACCTTAAAACAGATTTTTATTTAGATAATGTATATATATATATATATATATATATATATTAAATATAGTCAGTGTACAGATTTATAAAAAATGATCTTAGAATAGTATATCCTACATTTTAAATTACTATTTTATTCTTGATACGAAGATCATATTTTTTATTTACGAATCGATTTTAAATAACAAATAACATTATAGCTATGAATATTATAAGGATTTTTTTATATTTTCTTATTGAAATTGCAATATATTAATTTTTTTACATCTGAGAAAATGAAATTTTTATCTTATAACAGATTAATAGAATTATGTTTCTTAAAATGAATTTATGAAAAAATTTATAAAAAAATTAAAATTATTTCACGAACGAAGCTTAATTACAGATAAAAAAATTTCAATTTATCGTATATTAATGCATTTCATATAAAATTTGTGTTATCCAATTTGTTTTCATCATTAATTTAAATTAATAAAATAAATTTACTCTAAATCTGCATAATAATAAAATCTCATTGTTTTCCTCTCATACATGTAAACGAATTTTTTCATGAAAAATATATAAAATTTCAGTAAAAATATCGCAGGTATAAAAATTTATTTTAACAATGTAATTTTTACATTAATTTTATTGATTGCATTGTTCAAATTTAAAAAGAAGTTTTAAAAGTGGATTATCAAGACAATGAGTACATATTTTGTTCCGTTAATATTATTATTTATTCAATTGCAGTATATATAAAATTAAGTACATAACAATGTAATTAATTTGGCCGCTCTAATCAAACATTTATTTTTACTTGGCTTAAGCTTAAAAACTATATTTAATTAGAGTAATATAATCAATTAATTATTGCAACTCATATATTGATTTGCACTCGTAATAACGTAATAGATAAAAAAAAGAACAATTTTAATAAAATTTTACAATGAAACACTTATTTGTTTACTATATTATATGTATGTAATGAAAAAATTAGAATATATATATATATATATATATATATATATATGATTATTATTATACGAAGTATTTTTTCAACGTAATTATAAAATTTTTCTTTCACATTACATTGTGTTACTTTACATTACATTAATGTTACGTATATACGTGCAATTTCGTACAAATGCAAAGCTGAACATAAACACAAAAATGAAGATAAAATGCATTGGTAGATTCTTTTTATTTCACCATTAAAAAGCCAAGAAACCCCGGTTTATTATAGAAATCGTAATAGTAATAGTGATAATAGTAGTGGTAATAGTAATTTTGTATTATTATTTGTGTGCACGAGAGAGAAAATCATGGAGATGGACAAAAGAGACAGATGCTTTTTTCAAAACTGTTCCAGTGAATTATCTATATTTATAATAATATTGCGAATTAATAAAATAATATATAATAAAAATATGAAAGACAATAAACAATGAAAGTAATAAAATTTAATTAAATATCCGTATTTATTACTTTATGCGGAATATTTTGTACAGGAAGGGACAGACATTTTTACTGCCCATCACTGACCTGAGATTTATTGATTTTATTTGATTTTAATCTTTTATACAGACGACGAAGACTTAAAACATCTGAATAAATCAGTATTTTTCTTTCCGGTTCAACTTATCAGTTATTTCAATGTTAAATAAATAAACTGCAATAAACTAATATAATAATAATAACAACAACAACAACAACAACAACAACAACAACAACAACAACAATAATAATGAAAGTAAATTCTAATAAAATTGCTAATAAACTAAACGCAAATAAAACATTTTATTTTTACTAGAAAATATTGATTTTACGAAACAATTATGTTTACGTAGCTTATTAATTAAACTGAAGTATATAGCACAGATAGGATGAATAATTGTAAATACAAACTTTTCATTTCCAATTTATTTTATTATCAAAAAGATAGAAAAATTAAAAACGTAAATTAATTAGCGAGTAATATTTTTTAATTTTTGAGTAATTTGTAATAATTATAGTATGAGTATGAGTTTTAAAATCATCTTTGCAATTTAATAATTTGCATTGGAGCAAATGTCCTCTAATGATAAATAACGAGCAATTAATAAATATTTACCTAATTTAGCGATAATCATCATTATCCTTACCATAAATTATTATAAATTTTTGGAATTCAAAATTGTTTACAATTGTTCTAGTATGCAAATAGGTGTAAGCATACACAAATCGTACACACGTAAACACCATTATATAACTGATATTATTGTTCGATAAATTGCAGATTCAATTTGTTATTATGGTCATCCATACATCTCAAGCGCTGTTGCCGTCGTGCGAGCCCAAACTGAAACCTCTGGCATTTATCTACATGTCCAACGTTATTGTCATTTTCTACATGTTTTGGGACTTTTACAAGAAAGCCTATTTGTCGAAAAAAACAGTTTAATAATTGTGACAGCGTGTGCGAGGCTGCAAACAAGAATGCTAAACGAAGAAATAAACGTGCCACAAATACATTGTTCTATACAAAATAAAACCGTCTCTCGGGCATCCTGTAGTGAGAGGAATACAAAAAGTCATGCATAGTTACGCGCGAGAACATTAATCACAGAATCCAGCTTTATCGCATTTTTATACTTTCATAAGACATATCTATCATTTCCCATTTCCAGAATTTCATTGCTTGGTTATGACGAATGCTCCTGTCGTTCATCACGAAAAGAATTTATGCTCTTTGCTCGTTTGCGCTGCATTATATTAAAAAAAAAAAAAAAAAAGTGATCAGACTGAGGACGAGTGAGACGATCGTATGGGAGCGAGAGATAGCGATAGAGAGAGAGAGAGAGAGAGAGAGAGAGAGAGAGAGAGAGATGGACGGAGAACGAGAGACTGAAAGGCTTAAGATTTAATATAAAGCTTCAGCTTGGCCATATCGTATTATTTTGAAAAAATGATTGCGTCTATATGATGACGGCTTTATCAAAAATACCGCAGCTTCGCTCATCCAACCTCTTTTCATCCCCCGCACCACTTCATTACCGATCACTTCCCGATTGTGGCGAGCCTCGATCTCCCACCTCCCCCGTTGCCCAGCCCGAGCCGCGGCCATGAAGAAAGACAGACGTAGCTGCCGCGCGCACCGAAGTCCCACCGCGTCGTACATGGTCTAGAAAATTAGCATCGGGATTAGTGTGTCGATGGCTTTAAGTCGACACGCATGGCTGGGCGCCGATAAGACTTTATTAACACCGACAGCATTTATCCGCGGGCGTGGCACGGACGCCACTTCCAAAGCTAACGCCAACACCAAAACCAACAGAGAAAGAGACGCTGCCTACGCATACTCTAGGCCAGTTCGGCTTCCTGCCTGTGTGCCACTTTTTTTTTCTTTACTTTTTTGATTCCTTTTTTTTTTTTTTTTTTTAACGAAAAATAATTAAATTCTTATGTGTGCGCTTGGGTGGTTTAGCGCGTTATCAGACACTCGCCAGGAATCTCTATATAAATGTAGAATATATATTCTATGTTCTGCAAACACACGCACACGCACACGCACACACAAAACACACAAAACACACAAAACACACAAAACACACGAACACAAACACGCGCTATCTCACGCATACGTATAATATATATATTTGTTCTACCCTGTCATTTGCTGAATGATGCTGTGTGGCTTTATTTGCGATAGCTTCGGCGCTGCTTTAACTCATTTTGCTGTTATTATTGATAATTGTGGTCGATGACAAATGGGGAAATCGAGAATGTGCATAAATGGATAGATTGAAGCTTCATTGAATAATCGTACGTTGACGGGGAGCTTAGTATTTGAAATTGTGTTGATTTAATATACAATAATAGTTAATTACGTTACAACTTACTTTTTACCGTTTATTTTCAATCTGTAAACTATGATGTAGACGATGAAGAAATTTATCATCATGATAACTAGGAGTTTTTTTTTTTTTTTTTTTTTTTTTTGCAGAACTAAGACTTTGAAATAATAAACAATGCTGTGTACAAACTTTCACATTGATTGTAATAGGCTAGCAATACGTTACAGTAGAGCTGACGGAGAAAAATGATTAATGAAAATTTTATGTAGTTTTTAGCTTCTGCTTATGTGCAACAATGTAATCTTTGCCTTACAATGTATCGGAAACAATTACAAACAGTTTAGGAAGACTCTATTTTTTGAGATATACTTAATATTAATATCGTTACTACGTATTTCCATTAATGGCTAACACCCACAGAACGTTCAGAAAACCTTTTCTCGCTTTTATTTTATTATATTTTATTTTATATTCATTATGAGCGAAAAAAAAAAAATTTACTTACAACAACAAAATGCAATAAAAAAGTAAAAATAATCGATGCACGGGTAACTATGATATATTTTCAATGTGAAACAAAGGAATTTTCAAATAATTGTTAAACTATATTACACCAACATTGTACATATACAATTTCTTGTGTATTACATTATGTGTTATATGAATATAAAGATAAAGACAAATCATTTATTTATTTTTCCCGACAGAAAATAACGGCATTTGGTAGCTGTTTTATTGCCTGTCTCTCTCAAAAATCTATCATATTTGAATATAAATTAAAATAAAGCATTTATCGCTATAATTATGTAGTATCATAAATTTTGTATCTACAATAATACAATAATGCATTATAGGATTCACTGTTTTCTAGGATTAAATACTTATCATGTTAAAGTATCGATGACTTATACGAAATAAAGTTGAAATTCAATCTTATATAAAAACCTATTGTAAATATATTTAGAAATAATGAATTTCTTACACACACACACACACACGCACGCACGCGCACACGCACGCACACACACACACACGCACACACACACACACACACACATATTATCTGTATATGACGCATGCTTAAAAAAAAAATTAAATAACGCGTTATAGTTCTTTTAAATAATATTAATATCTGGTAAATACTATAACTGTTTATTTAGAGACACAAATTGTTCTTTTTAAATTGTTTGTTTATTTAAAAGCATTTAATGATTTTTCATAGTGACATTAATAACGACAGAATATAAAAAAATATTGGAAAATCTTACATGCATTTATAATGTGAAATAGTAATGAAAATTCTCTAATAACTGTCTTAATTTTTCAAATTATTAAATTATTAATTGTTGAAAAATTTTACTTTTAACACACAAAAATTACATTACCTAATAAAACAATAAAATTAGACAGTCAAAGAAATTCCAGTTAAAGTCCATAAGCATTAAATATAGATGTACTATGTAGCGAGTGTTTTGAAGTGACTAAATGCGTTTAAAATGAAATATCTTGCGTCATTATTTAAACTTTTAAGTATTAAGCATATCGAAGGAAATATAGTATTTCATTAAAAATGTGATTTACCATTCGTAATGGATACCAAAGGAAGTGCAGAAAAGGAATAGGATCTACAGTAGGCCATGTGCGGCTTTGTTGAGAAATATTTAATTTTATGAATAATACAATGGTATTCGCTACTTTCGAAGATAAAATATACAAAAAGAATAAATTTTTGAAAGGACAAAAGGATAAAATGCATTTGTAAAAGTATTATCAATTGCATCGATAAAATATTTTTAAAATTGCAAATTATAATTAAAATTACGGTGTAATTATTTAATTAATTATGCCAAAATGCATTAATGAAATTATATTTTTCTTCAAAATCTTTGCTTTAATGTAGTAAAATAAAAAGAAATGGCTCGAGAGTGATAATTTAATTAGAATATTAATATCTTTTTTTTCTTTTTTTAAATAATTTCATCAAATATTTAAGAAATTGTATACAATTATTAAGAAATAGCTGTCGAATATTTTAATTAGAAATTAATTTATACATTTAATATTAATAAAAAGCTGCTACATTGTAGTTTGTCAATTTTTTTTTTTTCGATTTAACTACTTCACTTTAAAAGTTTAGTTCTGCGAAATTGGAATTGTTTTTTTTTTTTTTTTGCGTAAGAGATCATAATACAATCTATATTAATATATATACAAAGATTTATTTATTTATTTTTTAAAAATGTTTAGCTGAAAGCTCAAACATGTGTTCTTGATGGATATCTATCACATCAATATCAATATAAATTTAATTCGAAAATTATATTCAATGTTTTTACGATGTCATTAGCATAAAGAAAATATGTAACAATATTGTTCTACGATACAATTTATAATATATGAGCATAATTATAAATTAATCTTCTAATTATTATCGATAAAATTTCAAATTATTCTATTTCTGAATAATTTTATATTCTAAATATGGTGATTATTTTAAACCCGTTTCACCTTTTATTTATTTAATTTATTATTTAATGATATAAATGTTTCCTTTAATGATCATCTAAATATCATATTACACTAGTTTCAAATGTGAAATTTGGAATGAAAATTTTGTTAAAATGTTCAAGATGCACTAATAAGCAGAGAAGAGAAGATTATAAAAGGGACAGTCAAGACGGAAGTAATTGGATGAGATTTTGCATCAGGAAGTTGGCAATCGGGATTAATTCGGTATTCTGTTGTAGAAGCATAAAATATTAAATGTTTTATTTGATTAAATTTTTCATTAATTGATTTTGATAAATACTTAAGGTAAATCTCTTTTGGCACGAGTTTCATTTGATTTAGTGAGTGTGAGAACTTTGTAAATCTTTTTTGCTCCACTAATAACATAAATAAATTTTAATCATAAAACATACTGTGAGCATTTATTATATTTAATTATGTAAATATATATATATATATTTTTTTTTAATAGACTTTTAACTTTAATTTAAGAAGTATTCAAAAACATATTACATATAATTAAATTACATATATCATAAATAAATTAAATTATAAAAGTTGTATTAACTTTTTATTTCTTACTGCTTATTTATGTTATTATTAAACCTTTAAAAGAATCATAATAAATTGCATATTTTATAGAAATAATATATTGACTTTTATAAGCATTTGATATGTCTATTAATACATACATATATATATATATATATATATATATATATATATATTTATGTAATTTTCTTCTTATACATTAAAATTTTATTCTATGCTCTCTAGGGATCTTAATTTAATTGTAATGACTTCAGAACATAGACCATTAACAATTAACTAATGTAATTATCGCAACTAGATAAAGTCTTAAAAACAATCATTAAGATCAAATACTAATTATATCAATTAAATTTAGTTCTCTACTTAACAAAATTAGTGAAACATCCAGCCCCGTAGTATTTTAAAGAAATAAAAATAGAAAATTCCGGCCGTAAATGTAAATTTTCTCCGTCCGCGGAAAGCTCAATAACGTGTATGGAAAATACAAGCAGCGTGTGCATAAGCCAAAATGGGGATGGCAGTGGTCGTATTAAAATGGCAAAAACAAAATATACAATTTGTAGAAGAGTGTGACTCGTCCGTTGGAATTCCTCGTTGGCAGGTGGTGCGTTCGTTTCATTACTTTCCACGCGCTTTCCCGCGTCGTTGACAATTTTAATCCATCGACTGTGTTGAATAAAGAAAGATATATACGAAGCACCGCTGTAGCTTTAACTTTTCTTCCGGCTTACATGCTTTTCACCAGTTTTTTCGTCATCGTCTCTTCCCCCTCTTCTCCTCCAACCCCTATCGCCGCTCAAGCTCGACCGACCCTCCCATCATAATCGTCTTCTGTCTTCCAATTTTTTTCACTTGC